GAAAGCTCAGATGGAATTGCCAAGGTGTCAGAATAGCCAAAATGATCTTGAAAAAGATAAAGTTGGAGGACTCAAACTTCTCAATTTCAAAGCTTACTACAAAGCTACAGTGATCAAGATAGTATGGTACTATCTAGATATGTAGATCAATGGATTAGAATTGAAAGACCAGAAATAAACCTATAGATTTATGTTCAATTGATTTTTCTTTTATTTTTTTAATTTTCTAAGTTTATTTATTTTTTGAGAAAGAGAGAGCAAGAGCAGGGGAAGGGCAGAGAGAGAAGAGGACAGAGGATCTGAAGCAGGCTCAGCAGAAAGCCCAGTGTGAGGCTTGAACTCAAGAACCATGAGATCATGACCTAAGCCAAAGTCAGAGGCTTAACCAACTGAGCCACCCAAGAGCCCCTGTGTTCAACTGATTTTTCAACAAGGACACCAAGACTCAGGGGAAAGGATATTCTCTTCAGCAAACACTGCCTGGACAACTGGGTAACCCTCTGCAAAAGCATGGAGTTGCATTCTTGTCTCACAGCATATACAAATATTAACTCATAATCGATTGAAGTCCCAAAGGTAAGAGATAAAACTATAAAACTCTGAGAAGAAAACACAGGAGTAACACTTTATGAGCTTGGATTTGGCAGTGGATGGATTCTTAGCTCTAGCACCGAAGTATAAGCAATGGAAGAAAAATAGATAAATTGGATGTCAACAGAATTAAAAACTTTTGTGCACCAAACGTCATTATATGAAAAAGGAAAAAACAACCTACAAAATGGAAGAAAATATTTTTTTTAAATTTTTTAATGTTTATTTATTTTTGAGAGAAACAGAGACAGAATGCGAGTGGGTTAGGGGCAGAAAGAGAGAGAGACACAGAAGCAGAAGCAGGCTCCAGGCTCTGAGCTGTCACACAGAGCCCAACCGGGGCTCGAACTCACAAGCTGTGAGATCATGACCTGAGCCGAAATCAGACGCTCAACCAACTGAGCCACCCAGGTGCCCCAAGAAAATATTTTCAAATCAAATATCTGATAAGGACCTAGAGTCCAGAATATATAAAGACGTCTTACAACTCAACAATGAAAAGACAAAGAAGCCAATTAAAAAGTGGTCAGTAGGGGCGCCTGGGTGGCGCAGTCAGTTAAGCGTCTGACTTCAGCCAGGTCACGATCTCGCGGTCCAGGAGTTTGAGCCCCGCGTCAGGCTCTGGGCTGATGGCTCAGAGCCTGGAGCCTGTTTCCGATTCTGTGTCTCCCTCTCTCTCTGCCCCTCCCCCGTTCATGCTCTGTCTCTCTCTGTCCCAAAAATAAATAAACGTTGAAAAAAAAAATTAAAAAAAAAAAAAGTGGTCAGTGGACATGAATAGACATTTCTCCAAAGAAAAATACGCAAATGCCCCCAAAGCACATGTTCAACATCATCTGGCAAATGCAAATCATAACCCCAATGAAATGCTATAATTTTTGAAAGTGGGAAATAACAAGTGTTGGCAAGGATATGGAGACTGGTGGGAATGTAAAATGGCCTGGATGCTGTGGAAAACAGATTGGCAGTTCCTCAGAAAGTTAAACACAGAATTCCCACATGACCCAGCAATTCCACTCCTAGGTATATAGTTAAAAGAACTAAAAACAGGTGTTCAAACCAATACTTGTACACAAATGCTCAGAGCAGTACTATTGACAATCACCAAAGAGTGAAAAACACTAACATATCTGCCAATTTATGAGTGGATACACAAAATGTGGTATATCCATGCAAGAAAATAGTAGTTAGCCATAGAAAGGAATGAAGTACTGATACATATTAGAACACGGATGAACCGTGAAAACATGCAAAGTAAAAGAAGCCAGTCATAAAAGGCCATTTATTCTCTCATTCCATTTATAAGAAACATCTGGAATAGGCAACTCCATACAGACTAAAAGCAGATTAGTAGCTGCCAGGGTCTGGGGTGACAGAAGGGTAGGGGGAAATGACTGTGTAATGGATACACGGTTTATTGGGGGGGGGGGGCGGCGGCAAAATTAGAATTAAAACAAGCCGAGGGGCGCCTGGGTGGCTCAGTTGGTTAAGTAGATAGCAGTGATAGCAGTGATGGTTGTATAACATGGCACATGTACTAAAAGCCACTCAATTATACACTTTAAAATGGTTAAGGGGTGCCTGGGTGGCTCAGTCAGTTAAGCAACAAACTCTTTTTTTTTTTTAATGTTTTTTTAATTTATTTGAGAGAGAAAGAGCCAGAGAGAGAGAGAGAGAGCAGGGGAGGGGCAGAGAAAGAGAGAGACACAGAATCCAAAGCAGGCTCCAGGCTCTGAGCTGTTAGCACAGAGCCCAATGCGGGGCTCAAACTCACGAACCATGAGATCATGACTCGAGCTGAAGTCAGACACTCAACCAACTGAGCCACCCCGGCGCCCCCAGCAACCAACTCTTCGTTTTGGCTCAAGTCATGATCTCAGGATTTGAGATCAAGCCCCGTGTTGGGCTCCGTGTTGGGTGTGGAGCCTGCTTAAGATTCTTTCTCTCCCTCTAACGCTTGTGCTGTCTCTCTAAATAAACAAAATAATAAAATTGTTAAAATGGTCAATTTTATGTTATGTAATTTTTACCTCAATTAACTTAAAAAAAATACATAAAACACACAAAACAGTTTTATATTTCCTTAGGTACATGGATGTACCGTGTCTATAAAGGCATAACCAATTGTCCAGGATACTCTCCAAGCTGGAATTAGTACTAATGCCAAGAAGGATTGCTAAGGGATATTTTAGCTTGAAATATATGAATTAAAAAGAAATTATTTTTAATAGAAAATGTAAATTAGTCTGTGCATGGTATAAATTCTGGAGGAAGAGCTTTGGAGGCAAATTTCATGGGAAATCCACTTTCCACCTTACATGTTTCTGCATTATTTGAAATGTTAGCAACATATGTACCATTTTATAATCAGATCAAGAAATCAAGCAAGGAAGAGAGCCGGAAGCTGGGGAGCGGAGGGGACTGATGAAATAGAGACCAAGGCTCATAGTCTGTAATCTTACCTCTCGCACCCATCTGCTGCCACTTTGTGAATACCTATAAAAGCATGAACATAAAAGGGGCCAGCAGGTTCTCCCAGAGACTTCTAAGAAGGAGACAAAGCCAAGGTATTCTGGCAACAACACACCTAGGCCAGAGTGGGGTAGGAGAGAGACTCACAAGGAATAGTGGGATCTGACACCCTGATCATGGCAACCTGGCCCAGATGGACTGAGCCTCCGAACACTGGCCATGCCCACAGCCTGTGGATCCCTTCTGCAAAATCTGGCGGACTGGACTAGGAGTGGATAGATGCCTGATGCCAGGACCAACAGCTGAGTGCAGCGATGGAGGCCTTTAAGACACTGATACCAGCTCTCTGCTCACCCAGACTGACAGTCATTAAAGGAAGCAACAGAGTCTGCTCCAGAGGACTTTTCACATGATGCAAAGAGCTGGTGTGGCTGACAAGAGGGACAGAACCTCTGAGACACCCCAATGGCCAATGCCATGGCCATGAGAATGAGCGTTCACACAAGGTCTCAAATACACATAAACAGAAGCCACAGACAGTGCATAGCCCAACAAGCAGCGGACGCCTAGCAAACCCTCATGCAGAAAAATGAATGCTAACACGCATGCTAAAGCCAGAGCCACAATGGCCTTCCAGATCCCAAAGGACGCCCGGCATCTCTGCATCACCTGCGTCCGCACTTCCAGTCCCAGCCCTGAATCCTGGAATCGCAGCTTTCTGTGAGCTCCCGGGAGACCTGGCTGCACAATTGCATTCTTACACACGGCAGGGCAGATCCAGGTTTTGTGGGGCCTGAGGTTTATATAATTTGGAAGGCCTACTTTAAGAAAAAGAATACAAAATTACAGGCTTGAAATTGGCAAGTGAATAATGAAGGACAAATAAAGAAATTACAACAAATTGTAAATTCTCAAAAGTTGGCAAATACCAAAGCATAGCATCATGTATATATTAGCTCACCTTCCCACCTCTATCATGCTTTTCCTACATCTTTTTGCAGCATAACCTTTGGTTACTTCTGAATATGATGATTTTGTAATATCATTTTTGATAGAAACTTATTTATTATAGATACTCAGGATGCCATGAAGTAAAGTATGATTTCTCATGCTGACTTACACACTGTTTGTTCTGAGTAGCTCTGCTAGTTGCTGCACTGAAATCACAGGAATTCTGATCAATTCCCTTTCACAAAATTCACGCCAAAATAAGAGAAAAGTATGGCATGTTTATAATGGTCTCACTGCATTAGCAGGTATATTCCCGACAAGACAGAACCTCAGTTTTAAGCGGGCATCAGTGAGAACAGAATCTTCCAGTTACGGTTTTACATGTCTAACAAGAGGAAGAACTTTCTACAGAGCAGCTTTTATCTCCATACTTTTCAAGCCTCCGTTTTCCTCCCCCGCCCACCTACTTCTGGTGCCTGGCACTGTAGGGCATGTTCATATCACCGTAGCAGCATGTGTCGCTGCATCTTCTTACCATGACACAGTAACTGGTGAGAGCCTTCCTGGAAGCCATTTCTAGTGGAATGGTTGGCAAGGATGTATCTATTCCCCACGGTGACTGTGAACGACATAAATCTGTCTCATTTAACCCATACTAAGTACACATATCCCAGCTCTGTTTCTCCTTAGTCATGTCCCAAAAAGGGCCGCAGCCACTCCAACACCACCCAGTAGAAGAGTGACAGAGGTGGTCAGACAGGGGGAGACAGAGGGCCTCTTCAACTGTCTTGCTTTCAGAAATTTTACATGAAAGCATACTAGCCTGTGAATGCACTGTTTGGAGGCCCTCCCATGGGCTCTGACACTTAAGCTTCTGGAAATCCAAACTGGCTATGAGTATTCCTAAGTAAAACCCCTTACTTGAAGGAAAGCTGCATGAGTCTCTTATTGCTGCCGCCAACAGGAACAGAAACAAGTGACTGGAAAGTGTAGAAAGAGCAAGACTTAAGAGGCTAGTTGGGTCTGTGAAATATACTGCAAGCAAGAGATAACGGCCGACCTCCAGAATGATGGGAATTAACAAATGAGGGGACTGGTCAATCCGAAAGGAGGCACGAACAAGAGGAGAGAGGAGAGAGATGTGGCAAAAATGTGGATGGACAGGACCTGATGAGGGAGGAGACCTGTGTGCAGGTGGGCGGAGTCTAACGGGGGGGGGAGTGACTAACAGTTGAGGGCGGGGCTAAAGACTAGGGTGGCCTGATAAATGAGTGGACTCTGAAGACCAGGGCCATGGACACACAAAATGTGAGTAACACCCACACGGAAAGGGTCTGCCTGACAGATAATAAGCAGTGACTACTGATGAGTGGGGGACTGGAAATAAGATGAATGGGCCTGGAAATGGGAGGGCAGGGCCACCTGTGCCAGGCCCCCTTTCTACCCAGCACCACAGATGGGGACAGAAATGGGAGGGTACCCCAATGAGCATCTCCGTGTTCTTCCCTCCCCTGATCAGTTAGAGAATGCAGCCGTAAAGATTCAGTCATGGTGGCGTGGCAACATGGTGCGCCGGACGTTACTGCACACAGCACTCAGGGCCTGGGTCATCCAGTGCTGGTGGAGGTCAATGCAGGCCAAGATGCTGGAGCAGAGACGGCGCCTGGCACTAAGACTCTACACCTGCCAGGAGTGGGCAGTGGTGAAAGTGCAGGCACAGGTTCGGATGTGGCGGGCTCGCAGACGATTTCTTCAGGCACACCAAGCGGCCTGCATCATCCAGTCTCACTGGCGCTGGCATACCAGTCAAACCCGGGGTCTGATCCGGGGCCGCTATGAGGTCAAAGCCAGCCGGCTGGAACTTGACATCGAAATTCTCTTGACCTAGGGCACTAGTAGAGCCAAGGAGACTGGATCTCTCTTCCAATAAAGACACTTAACTGAGCATACTCTTGCTCTTTGGAAATTAGAGCCATGAAAGAGGGATCAGCCCATCCCAGGGTACCCCACTCTAGGCCCTTACTCTTAATGCAAATCTGACCCATCCTGTACCCAGAAGAGACCCCAGGACCAAGGACAGGCTCTGACACCTCAGCCAGCCCGACCCCAGCTCTCTCCACAAGCAGGGTTAGGCATTGGGCTTTATTTTTCTGCAGCCCCTCCCCAGGCATCTCCATTCAAGATAGGACACCAGAGAGTCAGGCTGCAGCCAGAGCCAGCTGGGAAGACCAGGATTCCACAGGCCTATGCTAGGCAGGGTCCTCAGGGCCAGTGCAGTGTTTGACAGGGAGCCAGGAAGACAGGGCACCCAGCTGAGCAACAGCAGGACAGGAGCTGTGCCTCACTGGGGGATAGTCAGCCAGAGCTAGCCTCTGGGGAAGACCAGGACAGGAGCCCAGGAGCAGCAGCTGTGCCTGCCGCTTCCACCACCAGGGGTTGAGAGACAAGGTTTCCCTCCCCTCTGCTGGCCACTTCCTGGGAAAACCAGGCACTGTGGGGGAGGGGAGAGAGAGCCCAGGGAGGTAGGGCTGAGGAAACAAGCAGAGGGAGTCCAAGGGTAGACAAGGACTGTCCCTATGCCACTGGAAGTCATTGGTTTAGGGATATGACCTCTAAATCTTACCACATCTTCAGAAGCAGCTCTTCTGGCCTCCCCCCAAGATCCACTGTATTTGCCCCAACCCTCCCACAGATGGCCACGCCCCCTGCAGGGCCTGTCTCAGGAGCTGATGGCCTGTGCTGGCTGAATTTCTTGCTAACTCTCAGCACCCAGGCTCAGCCCTCTGTCTCTGTCTCTCACAGCCTCTGCTTGGATGCTCAAGGTCCCTCAGATATTTGTCTCTGAACCTGCCTCCCAGAAGCCTGAGGCTCATGACCCTCCCCAGGTGTCTGCAATGGGTGGCCTTGCCTGAGAGGTGGGAGGAAGTGTACAGAAATCAGAGGTCCTCAGGGGCCTTGCATCTGGGTAAGGCTTCCCCTCTCCTCAGGGGTGTGCGTGCATGCGTGTGGGGCTCAGGGGAGGGTGTTTCCAGAACAGCTATGGCAGAGACGGGGATTCAGGGATCAGTCTGACACCCATTGCCTCCAGTAGCTGCAGGTGGCAGTGATGCAGCCATAGCTTGCTCTTCCAAAGGAACCCCTCCAGGAGCTCTGGACACAGCTCTCATCTGCCCGCCTCGCTGGCGTGAGAGGTAGGAGACTCGCTAGGTCTGCATGCTGAATATGGCAGAATTCTGCATGACTTTCCCTGTAGGCACCACCCCTGCAGCGAGAGATGGTTAAAACCCAGGCTGGCAAGGCTTTACTTCTCTGATTCTCAACCTATGTTTCATTGGAATCCCCTAAGACACAAAACATACCAATGCCTGGGCACATCCAGAGATCCTACTTTTACTGGTCCGTGGAGAGGCCTGGACATTGGAATTCAATGTGCAACCATGATTTGAAAACCGTTGAGTTAAGCCCTTCCCAGCTCAGGTAATATAGCCCACTAGGCCCACGTGGTCCTACCTGGGGATGGTGATGCAGAATTCCAAACTGCTCGCCAGGCTCAAGGTAATTAAGGCTTTCCACTCTGCGATGAGCTAAGAATGCAAAGTAAAACAGGGATTCAGAGGGAGAGCTCCTTTGGTGGAAAATTCTTGGAAGCAAGAAAACACAGGTAGCTGGGGCTGGGATGGGGAGAGGCTGTTGGGGGGAAAATACGTGGGGCCTCTTATCCCCAGAGACAGGACCCCAGGAATATGGCACCATTCCTGTGTGAGCAGTGGAGACTCAGGGACCAGCCCAAGAAGGTCAAGCTTCATCCAAGGTCTAAACTACCACCTTGGGTGTCCCTCTAATGGCCGGGGGTCTTGAGAACCGGAGGTGTCTGGACCTGTGGGTGTTGGGCAACAGACAGCCTGAGGCAGAAGAAATCAATGGACATAGGATGGGAATCCACAGAGAGGATCTCCTTTAGCAGCCAGGTCTGTGGCTAGAGTCGGCCTGGATTGGTGGAGACACCCAGAGCTCCTCAGCAGAGGTGAGGCTGTAGGTGGGGCTTTCAGAGTCAGACCTCTCAAACCCTCACAGAACATCACAGAACTTCCCTTCTCTTCCCCATCATCATTGAGAATTGAGCTGGAGAAGGAACTCTCCCTGAGAATACACTGAAACACTAGAAGTAGGGATGGGGGGGAGGGGGAGACGCTTGTAGCCTTGGGGCAGGAGTGGTCCTGAGCACACTCTGGGGGACTTTGTATCCCCATTCTTGCTCTTTCCCCAAGTGACATTGTGTCCCCAAGAGATATTGCCCTGTGCCTGATCAACAAAGAAATAAACTGACCTTCAGACTGGCCCAGCATACTAGGCCCCTAAGAAGATAGTTCAGCAAGTAAGGGCCCATCTCGTACTGGTCCCTTGCAGCTCTGAAAAAGGATTCCCAGATGGCATTTCATTCTTGCTCCCAGGATGCTCACCCCATGCTCTCAAGCCCCTCACCTGATACATCTCCAATCTCAGTTCTGATTCTACCATTCAGGGCCTCCATCCTGCCTTGTCTTCTGCTTCTCTCTGTCCCACATGGCAAACCCAAAATGAGATGGCGCTGTGCAATTACAAGATTTGCAGTACAGATACAGTAATTAAGATAGTGCAGTATTGTTGAAAGAATAGATCAATGGAACAGAAGAGAGAGCCCAGAAATAGACTCACACAAATATAGTCAACTGAACTTTGAAAATGGAGCAAAGGCAATCCAATGGAAAGGTTTTTTTTCAATGAATGATGTTAAAAAACAACATCCACATGCAAAAAAGGTGAAGCCAGACACAGACCTTACACTTTTTACAAAATTAACTCAAAATGGATCACAGAAGTATAATACTCCGAGAGCCGTGAAAGAATTGATAAGCTGGACCTCATTAAAATAAAAGCTTCTGTTCTGCAAAAGACGGTGGTTATGAGACATAAGAAAAGAAACCACAAACTGGAAGAAAATGTTTGCAGAAGATAGTTGATAAAGATTTGTTATCTAAAATGTACAAATAACCCTGAAAACTTAATAATAAGAAAATGAACAACTCATTAAAAATGAAGAAAAGACCAAGCAGACACTTCACCAGAAAAGAGGTACGGATGGCAAACTAGCATATGAAAATATATTCAACATAATACATTATTAAAGAATTGAAAATTAAAACAATAATGAAATAACCCTACACATCTATTAGGAAGTCAAAAATCCAAAACACTGACAACACCAAATGCTGGCTAAGATGTGGAGCAACAGGAATGCTTATTCAATGCTGGTGGGAATGCTAAATGGCACACCCACTCTGGAGGACAGTTTGGTGGTTTAATACAGAACCAAACATAGTCTCCCTATATGATCCAGCAATTCAGCTTCTTTGTATTTACTCAAGTGAGTTGAACACTTATGTCTACACAAAAATCTGCATATGAATGTTTATAGCAGTTGTATTCACAATTGTCAAAAGTTGAAGGCAACCAAGAAGACTTTCCAATGGGTAACTGATAAACTTACTGCGGTACATCCATACCACAATGGAATATTTAGTGAAGAAACAAGCTGTCAAGCCACAGAAAGACATGGAGGAATTTTGAACTTAAAGCTGAAAAGGTAACATATTGCATGATTCCAACTATATGACATTCTGGAAAAGGCAAACTATGGAGACAGTAAATGGTTGGCAGGTGTCTGGTGGAGGGAATGAGGGATGAACAGGTGAAACCATAGGAGCATTTTATTCTGTATGATACTATAAATGCAGATACATGAAATTATGTATTTGTCAAAAACCAGAGAACTACAAAACACAAAGTGAGCTCTGATGTAAACCATGGGCTTTAGTTAATAATAATGCAGCAATACTGGTTTGTCAATTGTAATAAATGTACCACGCTAATGCAAGATGTTAATAATAAGCTAAACTGTGTGCAGCAGGATGAGGAGCAGGGAGCCCATGGGACCTCTATTTTCTGCTCAATTTTTCCATAAACCTAAAACTGCTTTAAAATGAAAGGCTGTTAATATAAAAAATAAAAGGCATAATGACTAGAACAAAAGTACTAAAGCTGTCTGCATTTGTTTTTTTTTTTTAATTTTTTTTTCAACATTTATTTATTTTTGGGACAGAGAGAGACAGAGCATGAACGGGGGAGGGGCAGAGAGAGAGGGAGACACAGAATCCGAAACAGGCTCCAGGCTCTGAGCCATCAGCCCAGAGCCCGACGCGGGGCTCGAACTCACGGACCGCGAGATCGTGACCTGGCTGAAGTCGGACGCCCAACCGACTGCGCCACCCAGGCGCCCCCAGCTGTCTGCATTTGTAAACAGCTTGATTATGTACATAGAAAGTCATTAATTATCTACTTGAACACCTACTTGAATATGTGAGTTTAGTAGAGTCATGGGATATAATGTCAATATACAAAAATCAATTGTCCAAAGAAGGTATATAAATGGCCAACAAGCACATGAAAAGATGTGCAGCATCACTAATCATTAGGGAAATGCAAATCAAAACCATGATAAGATATCACTTTGTATCCATTAGGATATGAAGACTTTTCTGAAAAAAACCAACAAACAAAAAAACCCAAAATAGCAAGTGTTGGCAAGGATGTGGAGAAATTGAAAAGTTTGTGCATTGCTGGTAGGAATGCAAAATGGTACAGCTATTGTAGAAACTTGTATGGCAATTCTCAAAATATTAAAAATGGAATTACCATGTGACCCAGCAAGTCCAGTTCTGGGTATACACCCAAAAGAAGTGAAAGGAGAAATTCAACAGATAGTATGACCCATGGTTATAGCAACATATTCACAATAACCAAATGGTGGAAGCAACCCAAGTGTCCATTGATAGATGAATGCATAAACAAAATTAGCACATATGGAATGTTATTCTGCCCTCAAAAAGAAGGAAACATCAACATATTTTATAATATGAATGAATCCTGAGGATATAATGCTAAATGAAATAAGCCAGTCACAAAAGAACAAATACTATTATGATTCCTCTTATATGAAACTTCAAGAGTAGCCAAATTCATAGAGACAGAAAGTAGAATGGTGTTTGCCAGGGGGAGGGGGAGGAGGGAATGGGAAATTAGTGTTTAATGGATACAGAGTCACGGGGAGAAGATGAAAAAGATGGATGGTGGTGATGGTTACATAACAGCATGAATATATTTAATCCCATAGAAACATTCTCTTAAAAATAGTTAAAAGGGCAAATTTTATGTCATGTATATTTTACCACAGTAAAAAAGTAAATTATAACTAACAAAAAACTGGAAAATGAAATTAAACTTAAATAAGCATTTCCAATAGCATAAAAAAAAAATCAAATGCCTAAGAAACAGAAATAGAAGATTTCCATGCTGAAAACTACACAACATTGCTGAGAGAAATTAAAGAAGACTGAAATAAATGAAAAAATATGCCATATTCATGAATTGAGTGACAATATTGCTAAGATTACAGTTTCCCACAAATTGATCTATATATTCAATACAATCCCAAACAAAATTCCAGAAGATTGTTTTTGTGCAACTTAAAAGGCTGATTCTAAAACCTATGTTGAAAAGCAAAGGACCTAGAACAGCCAAGACAGTCTTGAAAAAAATCAAATAAAATTGAAGAGCTTACCTCACCTGACCTCAAGCCTTACTAGAAAGCTACAGTAATTAAGACAGTGTGGTGTTTATTAAGATAAATAGATCAATGAAACAAAATAGAATCTGGAAACAGTCTCACCCATTTGTGGTCAACTAGTATGATCTAAGTCCTACATGTAAAAGCTAAAAAGAAAGTTTCTAGGAAAAAAAAAAAGGAATGTAGTGATATCCATGAAAATGACACAGTGGATGGCTCCTAGGCCCATTCCTCCATAGAAACATCAAAAAGTCAAACAAAAACTATCAAAACCAACTTTGTCAGAACTCTACAAAACAGTCAAAAGTTTACAGCAACCAAATGAATGCTGATTAAAGAAAAAGGCAATTTAAAAACAGTAGGAAGATTTTGTGGAATTTTTACTTGCCATTGTCCCATCCCTCCTCTTCAGAATGAGGGCTGTCTTGCAGATGGCAGCCCAGTGTGGGACCTGGTTACTGATTCCAGAGCAGAGCAGACCATAGAATCATGTTTGCTGGTCTAATCTGTCTGGGTGTTACCTGAAGGACTAATGCAAGGCACCTGCCTTCGGTTTGCCAATCTCAGAGCTCATTTGGGGTGGAAAAGCAGTAAGCGTTCCTGGAACAATGTAAGGCAAATGAACAACCTCAGGTGTTTGGGGGAAAAGATTACATATTAGGCACACAACAGAGTGCTAAAAGCCTCATGGGAAAATCTGGGTGTAGTTTCCTTCAGAAATTAAGGCATTCAAAGTGCCTGTGTGTACTGGGAAATTAAAAAAGCCATGTTCATGACCAGGGCAAGACTTATGCTCAGAAGACACCTGCAAAGACCTAAATCTTTCATCCCTGTCTCATCCCTAAGCTGTTTGGAAGCAAAGACTAAGGCAGATGGCCAGGCTAAATGGCCTGGCTAAGTGTTGAGGGAGTGTCCCAGTGC